ACTTGCAGCTTTTTTACTTGTTTATTATTATTATTATTATTATCATTATTGTTATTATTATTAGTATTATTATTATTATTATTATTATTATTATTATTATTATTATTATTATTATTATTATTATTATTATTATTATTATTATTATTATTATTATTATTATTATTATTATTATTATTATTATTATTATTATTATTATTATTATTATTATTATTATTATTATTATTATTATTATTATTATTATTATTATTATTATTATTATTATTATTATTATTATTATATTATTATTATTATTATTATTATATTATTATTATTATTATTATTATTATTATTATTATTATTATTTTATTATTATTATTATTATTATTATTATTATTATTATTATTATTATTATTATTATTATTATTATTATTATTATTATTATTATTATTATTATTATTATTATTATTATTATTATTATTATTATTATTATTATTATTATTATTATTATATTATTATTATTATTATTATTATTATTATTATTATTATTATTATTATTATTATTATTATTATTATTATTATTATATTATTATTATTATATTATTATTATTATTATTATTATTATTTTTATTGTTATTATTATTATTTGTTTATTTGTTTATTTTTTTGTAAATTTTGTGTGGCTTCGGCTTGGCACCTTTGAAACCCGATGTTGTCACTGTCCTCCTCTACGAAAAACAATTCGTTCAACATGGCCAGAAAACGTAACGGCTACTTCTTGCTCGTTTTCGATTAACAAATTGCCGAATTATGCCTCCGGACCAAAATCCGCACCAAATAGTGACTGAATTTGCGTGCATCGGCTTTTCAATTTATGCGTGAAGTCTTTGGACTTTCAATGATGTCTCCAAAATATTCATATGTTGAGATAGGCGGTGAATTTATGTTGATGCTGCTTCACGCACCCTTTCTGCCACAGCAAGAATATTCTCAGGTGTGCGCAATGTTTTTTGCTTTTCATGCTTAGGTTTATCGATGAGGATGCCAGTTTTCAACTCACACAACACAATTTGGTATTTATTTCTGTACGTGTGGTGTCCATTGCTGCTTTATTTGATGAAAAAAGATCCTGAAATTCTTTTGATTTAAATATGAAATAAAGGTTGCCCATATTCGACGGACCTTTGGGCCCATTCCAATCGACGAGGCTTGTCCGCAGGCAACATTCTTTGCGTCAATTGAATTTTGTACGGGAACAAACGCAAATCAATGCGAATAATCCGTTGTAAAGTGGACCGAGCCATGCCCAACTGCTGAGAACGGCGTTTTTGGGATGTGGGACCTCTCAACACTGGCTCGTACGGCAGCGATATTCTCGGCCGATCGGATTAGAAAGAGCCTTACCAGTCGAACATTTTTCGTATAAACGCTTAATGGTGTTCTTAGAAGGTGCACTTCTCACATTTTTTAATGTTTTAAAAGCACGTTGAGTATTCACAAATGACACAATTAACTATTTCGGAGCGGTTATATGGGGGTTATACGCTATCGTTATTTGTTACTATTATATACGTAAAGTGGAGTCGGACCAGCCCGACTTTGGCTTTGCTTTACTGTTTTTTTTTTATATTTTTTGTAACATATTTTTGTTGAAGTGAAATAAAATGTACCACTGATTGGTGTCAGCTTCTTGGATGCTGTTTTATTTAATGAAGACCTAGAAATTAATTCAAAAATTACGTTTCAGAAAATAATTATCCAAAAAGATTAAAAAAACTTTCTAAATTTATATACTCTATGACCCATGTTTGACTGGGCAAAAAATAATGTTAGGGTCTGTGGTTAAATGGAAAGATTTAAGGACAGGGCAGAAGCCTACCAATTTTTTGTGATCTTCAGATAATATTAGGAGGGCGAAATTAGCCGTAGCATTTGGGTGAAAATACTAAAATTTTCATATATTCACGATTATTTTGAACCCTGGCGATATCATTAATACACGAAAACCTACATTGATACTGGTAACCAAGATATCGGATATATACCAAATTTGTTCGAATTGATCGCCTTTGGCACGAATTACTCCAGACACAATAGTCCAACGCATTGGTGTCAGGAGATTTTGGTGGCCATTGTGAGCTGGAAATGAAGCGAGGAACGTCATTTTGCAATCATTCTTGGGTGACGCGTGCTGAGTGCGATGGTGCTGAGTCCTGTTGGAATGTCCAAGGTCCGCGGCCAAAATGTTTGCGTGCCCAAGGCTTTAATACACCCTCCAGGATATTTTCGCGATAATATTCAGCATTTATTCTGATGCCACGATCGATTAATACAGGCGGAGAGCGACCATCGGCTGTTATGGCGGCTGACACCATCACCATGGCCGGTGTTTGAGTTCTGGTGGCCAACCGAAGGGGCACATTTTCAGCTGACCTCTTTGGCAAGTAAACACGATAATTTTGTTTGTTTACAACGACTGTTTTCTCATCGTAGAAACTCAAATAAGGCAGTTCACCACGTTCGGCAAAGCGATGCAACTCTTTAGCTCTTTTGAGCCTATTTTCTTTCTGTTGCGGTATAAGTTCTTGTACTTTTTAGAATTTAAATGGCTTTACCACGAGCTCATTTTTCAATATTTGCCAAATGGAAAATTGCGATATGTTCAGCTCACAAGCCATTTTTTGGCCACTGCGACGCGGTTTTCGATCAAGTCGCTTCTTTTCTTTTCGAATCATATCTTCTGATATTGATGTTTTCTTCCTTCCACTTCCTTGACGTCGGTCTACGCTACCAGTAACGGTAACGATCGATGGTACGAGACACAAAAGATTTATTCACATTTAAATGCTGGAGTACTTTAACGACAGCCACTTGTGGTTTTCCAGCCAAATATAAAGAAATCACACTATAACGCTTGACTTCCATCGCGAATAACTTTTTTTCTGGGAAATTCTCACGAAAATGCTTTTGTACACTTATTAACAATATAATGAGCTGTTACGGGAATAATTTTAACAGCGGTAAGACGAGTGACTTAGAAATGACAGCAGTCTGAAGTTTGTTGCAGTTTTTTCATCTCACCTTGTATACTAGGTATAACATAGATTACTGAGAAAAATGTCAGAGCTCTATTTTCAACATAGAGAGCTTTACGTGATTTCAGGTCACTGATAGGTAGACAATCGGATATGGCTAATTCGTCATAGAATTAAAATTAGATTAAATACAAATATTTTATTTGTTCTCCGACGAATATTTCAAGGCGTAAAAAATGGAATGAAGAAATAGGTTTACTCATGTCATAGTTAAGGGTATTATTAACGGTTGATGTAGGGCCATTACTTGTATGTATGTTTAAAACTGTAGGGCCAAAATATGTGGAGGAGTATTTTAAACACCAATGGGTAACCGAGCAGCTACTATCACCCCCTTTCTATTGTAGTTGAGGGATTCCGACTATCTTTGTACGACTATAATTTGTACTAGGTGCAGATTTGTCAATAGTATATACACCATTTCATTGTTCTTCATTATAATATACAATCAAAAACAAGTAAGCAAAGGCTATAGTCGTGCGGGGCCGACTATGTTATACCCTACAACACTACAATATGTTAGAAGCCACCTTATGTCCAACTCCATATTGGAAGTTTTCGCTTTTGAAATAAGAATTTTGAGTAGGGACATTTGCCCAATATTTATGCACTTCGTCGGGCTGTTAGTTGTTGTAGTCCATTTTACAGTTAAATATAATCCAATGGTCATCCAAAATGCTAGAATTCTTCCCTGTCCTTAACTCTCTTCTTTATGCGAGATTTCGTGTCCTTTGGTTTATATTTGTGACCTTTATAACGGCTGCAAAATCAGGAACATATTTAGTTGTTGGTCCATTTCAACCCCTAATATATTGCGTATATCTTTGAAAACAACAGGCCTAGCCCTTCTGAGCCCAGCCCTACCCTTGTGAAAATTTTCGTCAGGATCGGACGATATTTGCAATACTTATATAATATCCCCAACCTGTGTTGTAAGGTGAAAAAATATTACAAAATATTATAAGTCAAATTGAAAAAATCGCATGCGATAAAAAATATGAAAAATTAAAAAAATGTTGCACAATACTTCAAAATCTATATTAACATCATTATTGATACCTTTTTATGCGAGTTTTTTAGATTTTATTCCTTTATGTCAAGAGGGCATTCTGAATTGACAAAATTTGTCAAAATAGGTCCAGCCATTCTTGAGATATAAGCATTCTAGCTAACATCCCCTTCCTTGGTATATACACATTGTGTATATTTCGCTATATGTAACCGATATATTTACTGTCGGCATCTACGTAACGGTCAGAATTGACCTGTTCGTCTATTTGGGATTTCGCCGTGATTAAAAATATTCGCGGTGTCAATTAAAAATTTTGATTTTTAATTGACACAAATGTTGTGGCCTATTTCACCCAATGACCATCAAAATTGGAAGGCTTCTGCTCAGCCGGAAGCTCTAGCTCATGCTAAATTTCGCTTTGATTTATCTTTAATTGCGACCTGTAGAGCAACTGCAAAATCATGAAATTTTTCAGTTTTTTCTCTATTCTATCAGTATCCCCACCTCCATTCTTAATTTCGTGAAGATCTGGCCATAATTGCGACCTGTAGAGTGATTACAAATTAACATGGACAGACAGACAGACGCACAGACGGACGGACGCACATACATAGCTACACTGAAAGAAAAGTTCATCATCAAGGTAATGAAAAAAAATTATCAAAAAATCTTCATCAAATTGGTGTAGAAAAAACATTGTTTTTATGAAATCGGTGCTCAATTTGATGTTTTATGTTTTCGGCTGAAAAACACCGTCATCAAGTAAATGAAGAAACTTTCATCAATTTGTGGTCATCATGTCATAATCATCATAATGAAATTAGTTATCAAATTGAAGAAAGCTATCATTAACTGTTTTTAGTTTTACAGCCTGTTCCACGATCTCGAAAGAAAATTTGTGCGAACGAAGTCAACTCACTCACTTTCGCATAAGAATGCGTTCCACTAACTTTCGTTCTTTCTTTCGCATAGCCTTACGTGATTCAGTGTTGCAAAATATTTTTTGGCAAAATTAATCGCGAAATAAGGCAAAAAAAGCGCCAAATGTCTAATTTAAACGCGAAAAAGCAGCAGTGGCTCTGTCTCAACTGACAGTTCAGTTGTAAACAAACAAATTGTAAATAAACAAACAAAATAAAATTTCTAGTGATTGTGTTTAGATTATTTGTGTTCTTAAAAAAGAAAAAAAAAAATGAATATTTCTGTAGCCCTATTTTTTATGGATGATGAGGAGGAGGTTCAAATTGTGCCACGGAGGCATTTAAGAGATGCTTCGAATTTATTTGAAGTACCTAACAACCAGTAAGTATGATTGTATTTTACATTTTTGAAATAATAAAAAAATGATTTTTTCTAGGTTTGTGTCTTCCAGTGGTCTTCATGGGATTGCCTGCTGCTTCCAAAAATTGGCACTCCTCTGGCGAACTTAGGATTCTCCCCCATATACTCAACTAGTGCCCGCAGCTGTGTAGTTTTTTCGTGCTGGAATTGAGAAAATAAAAAAATATATATTTGTTGTTCACAGATTAAATTGCATTTATTATTTTTACTTACATTTTTCTTTCCATTTTCAATCAAGGAATGTTTATGTTAAAACAATTTTCCTTAATTTTTATCATTCGACAGCAAACACACAAGTGACTGATTTTGACATTTGTGTTCGCATGCGTACGAAAGAAAAAAGATAGTGGAACGCAAAATTACACTGAAACGCTTACGTTTTCGTTCGCTTTGATTTTCGTGCAAATTTTCGTTCTGATGGATTTTAGTGGAACGGAAATCAGCTGTTTGTCGTGTAAAAGTTGTGCGAACGTGTTCTTTCGACATCGTGGAACAGGCTGTTAGTTTTTCCACCCCCTGATGTTTGTGCGTTTATTTCGAAAACACGCACACACAAAAGCATTGCTTTTGTAGTATACTTATTCAGGCATGGGAGTTATTACCTTTAAACAACATAATCTTGAATAAGAATTGGTTTTAAGATTTTTAATTTATTACATGTCTTTTATATCATCCTTTAGTTTATTAATTTTTCTACCGTTTGCGGGGTTAAACTTCAATAACATTTTATTGCTGTGTTAAAACTATTTTTGGTAGTTTTCAGATAAACGAAAGAAACTCTCGCATAAAATGCAAAGTCACATCTCTGGCATGCCAATTGAGAAAATCCCGTTATGTCTGCAGCGTGCGAAACAGTGCTTGAATAATAAGAAAAATTCATTTGTAAAGTGACATTTTTTGTGATCAGACGTTGATAAAAGTGTTTGTAATATTTTTGTGCATTGGAGCTAATAGAAGTGTTGTAAGTTAAAATGAAGTGTTTTATATGTTCTAAAAATTTTAGTAATATAGAAAAATATTTGTGGCATTTGCAAACATTTCATGGTTTCCAAAATAGTGATACATTCAGGTGTACGATATGTAACCATAAATAACTTAAGTCGAAAGGACGCTGAAAATATTCAGACTTCTCAATACAATCTTGTAATTTTACCACTTCTAGACGTTTTCAAAAAAATTTGCTGGCAAATTAGATTTGGATTCAAAGCAGGAATTATTTAAAACTATTCGTTGTTGCAATGTAGTTTTGAATTCAATAAAATCTGAGTACTTATTAACTAAAGAACTTAAAAAAAGAGATTTGTGTGAAGATTTAAACATTTCTGTCATTGACAAAAGCGGCGAGCTCATTCACAAAAAAGGCAATTTAACTTTCGCTGAAAAAGAGACCACAATGGCAACGCTTTCCCTAAGACATTCTTTCAAAAAAATTCTTCAAAAAGATAACTTATTGTTAAAAATTATTGATCATATGGAATCTTTAAACAAATCTTCGCAATTTACCAACATCGTGCAAGGAGATATGTGGAAAAAGAAGGCCGCTATGTATCCCAACCAACTTGTAATTCCTTACTTTCTATATTCCGACGATATAGAATTAAACAATCCTTTGGGTGCACATTCCACAACTCATAGCGTAACAAACTTTTACTTCTCTTTTCCTGTTTTACCAAATGAAAATACCAAATTGGACCATATATTTTTAGCGGCATCAATTAAAAGTAGTGACTTGCAAGTACATGGAATCGACAAGTGTTTGTTACCACTTGTTAACCAGTTAATAGATCTAGAAGTGGCAGGCATTGAAATCGATTTAAATAACGGTAAAGTGTATAATCCTCACTTTTTGCCTTGTTTAATTATTGGTGATAATTTAGGTCTTAACACCATATTAGGATACAGAAAATCATTTAGTGGTACATTTTGCCGATTATGCAGAATTGACAAAAATATGAGTAACGTAACAACGTCCGCTATTCCAAATCTTAAGAGGACATATGCAAATTATAGGCTTGATGTAAATACCGGGGATCCATCTAAGACTGGCATCGTAAGCGAATGTGTATTTAACAAAATTCCGTCTTTCCATGTTGTTGACAACTTGAGCGTAGATGCAATGCACGACGTTTTCGAAGGAATTTGTCATTATGATTTGTCTTTTGCCATACTTTATTTCACAAATACCAAGAAATATTTCTCTTTGAAAACCCTTAATGCTCGAAAACAAAAGTTCGATTACGGGGAACTTGAAATAGGAAATATTTCGCCCAAAATTACTATAACTCATCTCAAAAATCGCCATTTAAAGATGTCAGCAAAGGAAATGATGACGTTTTTATTATATTTTCCATTAATTGTTGGTGATATGATTCCAGACGATGATGAGGTGTGGATATTTATTTTAACACTTATACAAATTGTAGAAAAAATTTTCAAATTTTCGGTTACGGAGTTTTCTATAAGTTCTTTAGAAAATCTAATTGAAAAACATAATAAAGATTTCATTAGGTTTTTTAAAACTAATTTGAAACCAAAACATCATTTGTTAGTTCACTATCGGGAAATAATAAGAAAATGCGGACCTGTGCGGAAGATCTGGAGTTTCCAATTTGAGTCTAAACACCGCAGTTTTAAGTTGTACACACATGCTATAACTTCACGAAAAAACATATGTTTTTCATTAGAGAAAAAATATCAGTTCACCTTTTCAAACTTTTTGCTAAACTCGTCTACAAGCAATAATCTTGTTGTTTTACAAAAAGATTTAACCGTGTGTGAATTAAATGATGATATATGTGCTCAACTTAAAATACCTAAAAGACAGTTATATTTTTATAATAAGGTTATATTACAAAACATTGTATACAAAAAGGATCTTTTCGTTGCTGAATGCGAAATTGACTATAATATTTATAGAATTATAAATGTATTTTGTTTGGATAACCATATTTATATATTTGGTGAACGATTTAAAGACGTTGTTTATTGTAGCCATTATAGAGCTTTTGAGATACACGTCAACAAAGTAGAGGGAGCCTTTGCGGTCAATATCAAAAATCTTATTGGACATCCAACAACAGCCATAAAAACCCATACAGGAAAATATATGATAAGAATAAAAGAGTTATATTAATATATATAAAAATGGCAGCTATTGAAGATCAATTAGAAATTCTACTCAAAAAATGGAACTTACTACATTTACTTTCCAACTTAAAAGGTAATATATAATATAACTTGAAATTAAAGCTTATTTATTTAATGTATTTTCCAGATGAAAATATAACGATTGATGTCTTACAAATAATTAACAGAAAACATTTAGAGGAACTCACACGAAGATTTAAATTAGGAGACAAAATAGTTTTTGAGTTTAATATTAATAAATGGAGAGAAGAAATCGGAAAACCTATTGAAAACGAATATTACTCAGACGTGGCCAATATTTCGTCTATCTCACGGAAATCTAGCTGTTCTTCTATTACTTTACCTCAAGAACCTCTGAAAGAACGCTTTGAACCAAAATAAAATTGGCAAAAGAATTTTAGAGACCTATAAAAAATACGAACATATAAATGAAGATCAACGAAATTTAATAATTACAACAATAGCTAGTTATTTTCATGCAAATGAGTTGCACATGTCTTTACAAGAAAGCTATAATTTGGAAAAACAAATAATAGATATGTTTCCCAATGAGAAACTCCATTCTTACCGCACCGACAGGCGTGGAAAGCTATATGTAAAATACAACAATATGAAAAGAAATCACATTTATCAGAAAGATAGAGATGTCAATTCACCTAAGGCATCCAAACCTGCAGATTATATCGGTAAAATATTCGAAAAAAAAACGTTATGATTTATACAAATGTAGTAAATTTGGGTTATTATTATAGTTTCTGAAGAAAACGCCAAAGAAATAATTCATAGTTTAAAATACTTTAATGTCGACCAAGAACAATTTTTAAAAATGTGGCAGTCATGCGCAAATTACCGAATCGTCAAATTTTTGACGAGCACGATAACCTTAAGGATATATTTAAAACCTGGCCACAGTATAAAGAGGGTCTTGGAGTAAAGTTGGTAAGTAACTTAATTTATATGTCCATCTTAATTTAATATTCTTTCTACATGTGGGTGTTGATATTCCGTTTAGATTAACATGGACTTCGGAGTGCTGCATAAAGACTACGGTGTATAATGTGATTAAGAAGGAAAAATACATTAAAGATGCTGGAATTAAATCAGTTTTCGATAGAATTGATCCATCAGATGCAGGTTTGTTACGAATAAATTTTCATTACATGCATATCATTAAATAACTAATATTTTTATTTAATTTTGTAGCTTCAAACATGTCTTTATTTATGATGCGCTTGACTTGGTGTCTACACGGCTACTTATATCCAACATCAAAATACCTCCGTAAAGATAAAGATGGAAAGAAAACGTATGGGAAATACACCATAAAAGACTCCCAAGAATCGTCAATATTCCTCGCACGAAGTATCCAAGAAGTAGACATGCACTTAAATTTCTTAGAAAAGAGAAATGAGAATATTCAACCTTTTATTTTTGTTGTTGGAGATGACAATTTAGAAGATAATGACTACAATTTCTATGTTTATTTAGACCATGCATTGCTACATTTTGTAGATTTCCAGCGAGCACTAGATACTTGCTTCAAAAGCTTTTTCTTATTTAATTTAGAATTTCCCGGAGCATCCAATCAGTTCTGGATCTTTGTTCAAGAGTACTTCTATGACATGAAATCAGCTCACACAAAAAATTTTTCAAAAATACTAAATATTTTAAGCGATTTAAATTATACCGAGAACTGATTTATATATAAATTATCTACATTTAATATTTAATTTTGTATTTGAATATAATTCAAACGCTTAAAGCGTCCTATATTCATGTACATTTTTAAATTTTATCACATTCATTTATTAATTCATTATTCTAAGGAAATATTGAAATCTATATTCATTGTAAAACCCGTAATGAATTATTTTTTAAGTTTTTTAATAAAAAATATTTCCTAAATGCCTAAAATATTTGTATTTATATTGAATTTTGTACAATTTAGAACGGCGTTTCTAAAGCGGAAAACAAAATTCAGTTCGATGTTAGGGCTTCATTGATTAAATGTAAATTATACATTAGTTTGATGCAGTTTATTCATTGAAGTTATGTAATTTTAATGAAAAAATTACGTAAGTTTGATGAATACCTTTCATTGGAATGATGCAGAATATACATTATATAGAGATAATCGAACATCAATTTGAGTATATTTTTTCATCGAAAGGAAAAAAATACATCTATTAAATGAACTTTTTCTTCAAGATGATGACATTATTTCATTAAATTGATAAATATTTTTGATGAAAATTTGATGTAAAATTCTTCATTATAATGATGAAACGCGTTGTAAGCTCAAAATCGAAGAAACATTTCATCAAAGTAATGCCCAAAATCATCATATTGATGAATTTTTTTCTTTCAGTGAAAATCGACTCAGCACATAGTGTTGTAGGGTATAAAAATGGAACTGGACTAGCCACGGTACAACATATAACAAAAAACATGACTTAATCGCTTAAGAAGTCCATGGTGCTAAATTGAAGGTGGTCTAAAATGCATTTTAATGAAAAATGTATAGACATGTAGGGATTTAAAATATATATTTTAAATCTATTACGTCATGAGGTTTCAACTACCGGAATAGACTTTTAAGATATATCCAAATTAGATCTTCATTTTATATATTTTAATTGCAAATTTTATAACAATATCCTGGACTTTAAGAGTTCTGATGATTTCAAAACTCATAGGATTGAAAAAGTAATTCGTAATACCCGTTACAGCCTTAGCAGTCTACGGACAATGTTGCCGCCACAAAGACATCTCTTTTAGAAAATAAACACCTTTTCAGCATCAAAGATCGTGGGCACGCCCCCTCAAAATTCAAAAGCGCATACTTTATTGGATATGTATTCTCCAAAATTTACAAGAAGAGGGAATTATCTACCATTAATCATTTATGTGAAATAATTTAGAATACGGTTAATTTGAGAAGAGTGGCAATAGTGAGGCATATACCCAAAATATTCAGTGGTACATAATTAAGTTGAAATAATTTAGAAACGTGGTCATTTCGTAGCAAAAAACTAAATATGTATGTTTGTGTTTAAACAGTTTCTATACGAGAATTTACGCATTATCCGTTTTAATAATCATTTATTGTTCGCCGACAAGTCTTTACAGCCGTCGAAATAATTTGTAACTGGGCCAATAACAAACAATGCCGCATCTGAAATCGAATAAGGAAATATGGGCAGTAGCAGCTTAATTAAATTGTTACAACTGTGCGAAGAGAGGGAAGATACCAAAAGAAAAAAAATAAATGATTAGACAACAAGTTACCAACCCGTGTCGCACTGTGTTTTGCCTTCAAATGTAATGCTAGAATAGGAGGAATAGTATTTATTTAGAAAATATTTAGATATTGGTTTTTTTCTGCGGAGTTATAACATCTCAGCTCTTTATCGTCTATTTAATTGAGTCTGTCTGTCCGTTGAAATTAAGGCCACGCTTACCAATATTAAGCTTTAAATTTCGAAACAGAAGCTTCTTGGTTTTAGTACAACCCCTATATAAAAATACCTTCCTGACTTTCGTGTTTTGGAAGATCTAGAGACAATTTTAAACGCATTAGCTGTAATTTGATATTTTTAAGCGGTAACTCCAATATTATGTATTTTGAATATTTCAACCAAATTAGTTCTTTCCGAAACCTAGGTATTCCCTGCCTTTCCCCCTGTAAACATTACCATCGTTCTCCACCAATAAACAAACGTTGTTTTTATATAAAACAACAATAAAGGCCTGACAATTTTGCAACAACAAAATGCTCATTTATGGGCTGTAACTAAATATTTAAAGTTCTTATAACTCATTCCGAAAGCACGTCTCACATTCCAAGATTCCAGGCCACGTAACACTGTACGAGAAAAATTTAATTAACCATTTTTGTTTTTCTTAAATTTCTAATCGAAATTTCTTTGTAGTTGATGGGCTCAGTGATCCGACTAACGCTGCCTATTCATCATATGTCTAATGATGACCTGTAAAGATTTCATCGGCAATATTTTGTCGGTGATTGAAATGAGTTTCGGCACATGGTTACATGACGGGAAAACTGGAAATAATTGATGCTGCCGCCGCTAGTGTTGGTAGTTACCGCCAGTTAGTTAACCAGACATTGTTTTCTTAGTCACGGCTCCCATTGACCAGGTTCAAGGGGTCATACGATATTGTTTGGCCGTAACTTTTGCCACTTAACTTGTTCCCGTTTTCTAATGTTTTTCAATCAAACCCAGCCAACGATAATGACTTCCCTTCCTCAACGACCACAACATTCATCATTTTTGATAGCTTTATTTTCTTTTGGCAGTAGGAAAAAGTTGTACGACTGCGCTACTGCCAGACCAATTACAAAATTCGTTAACGCTGGCGAGGGGGGAGGGGGGAATTGGAGTAATGAAAAAGCCATGTTTTTGTGATTAAATCGGTAGTAACGTTTTAATTGGTATAATTTTTCTATCATCAAGAAAAAGAAATTTGGTTGGCCTCGGGCCATCTACTTAACAGTTACCAAAATAAAAGAAAAATCTTCTAAAAAGAAAAAGGGAGACAAGCAGCCAAAAAATTCAACAATTGTTGAATTGCTCTGAGTAGAATAACAACAATTACTACTATTATTTATCCAAGTGAACGAGGTTTTGTTGTTGTCATATAATTTAGACTTTGAACCAGTTCCAACTTCCAGTACCCAATTCGTTCATATTTATAGCCATCAATTTGTAAGAGAATAATTTCATTTGGTTTCATTATGGTGGATTTCTTACAGCCGTCTGAATGGGGGACATTTGTGTGTTTGGTTGGCGGGTTTGGTTCGAATTAATGGTCTGGTGTGGTGTTGTGTAATTAAATCTAAGATTTCTCGTTATTATTTTGTCTTAATCGCCTCGTGGAGTCATTTATTAAATTAACAAAGGCTAATGTTGCTTTTCTTCAATGTTCCTTTGTCTGCCAGGTAATGGCTTGAAAATTAATTAACAAATTTATTCTTTCATTGCCTTCGCTAAATTTTCGTAAAACAAAAACATAATAATTACTTGTACTGTTACTTAGTCTATTTTAAGTCTTCAATTTGTATATTCGAACTACATGGGATTGAGTATTGTAAACATAAACTGGGTAGATGAAATTGTTAATATGAACTACAATCAAATAATGGAAGCGTATTAGAGTATAGGATCTTAACTAAACGCGGACCAATTAAGATAGCTTAATTAACCAATTTCATGGGCACTATAACATTTATTTGCGAATTTCAAAAATTTACAGACTCTTCCGATTTCGGTAGACATTCGCAGATGCTTATATCAAAAGCTGTGCAGTGTAGCGAGTAGCGTGTAGTTTTAACCTTTAATTCGTATTTTTATACCCTACAACACTATGTGTTGGTCGTATGCAGGTCGTAATTATCGCCCGATCCTCACGCACATTTGAATGGGGGTTACCGCACATTGCAAAAGCCAAGCAGTTTCGGATGGCCATCCAAAAATATTCAATGTGTGAAGGAGTTTGCCAACTTTTGTAGATAAAATACGAAAATGTCCATTCCAGTGACTCTTTGGAGAATTCACAAATACAGGAAAGATGCCCTTCTGACTATTTCGTTAACGCTGATTTCGTGGAAGAATATAGTCAAATGGCTGTATCTCATATAGATGCGTTTCAGTCAAAAACCAATTATAAATGTTAATCTTTTGCCACTTCTGAGAGATTATAGGTCTTTGGGAAATATTGGTCCCAGATCTAGGAAGACCATTTACGTGCAACATCTACCAATAAATTGGAAATGACCAAATTAGTTTAAGTTGCTATTATTCGAAAATTAGAGAACGAAACCTGATGGTTTTCTTTTATTATTTGTCACAATATCTTGTGGAATTCTTTCGAGTATCTCGCCTATGTAAATAGTATCGTTTATTATAGTGTTGTAGGGTATTCAACGGTCGGCCCCGCTCGACTGTAGCCTTTGCTTGTTTAATACTTATACTTATTCACAGAACAGACTCGTATAAGTGGTAAAATTTTTATTAAAAGTAATGACTCAACAAAATAGAAATAAATACCCATGGTCAAAATGTCAATACATGTTCACACAAAGGTCAATTTAAAGTATACTATTTTTTAGTCAAAGGCTTTTTTATTTAAAATAGGTACTATTGTGCTACATATCCGATATTCTAGCTATTAGTCAGAAGTGACCTTTAAATGTATATGTGATTTGGATCAAAAATATTCGCGGTTGAGTGGAAATTTTCGTATGTTTTTACATAAATATTGTCGGATTACCATCCAAATTGGTTAGCTTCTGCCCAGCCCCGAACTCTAACTCCATGCAAATTTCCGACTCGATTAATTTAAACATTTTTTGTTTTTGGTCCATTTCAACCCCTAAATATTGTGCGACCATCTCAAAAACAATTGGGTTCTATTCTAACAATTGCGACCTGTATCGTGATTACAAATTAACATGGACAGACGGACGGGTGGACATACATAGCTAGATCGACTTATCTCGGCGAAATAGAAAGATCTATATATAGTTCCCTATGTGGGAAACCAATATTTCAAGGTGTTACATAATTGTTGGCCCAACCAAACTTATAATACGGCCAACACATAGTGCTGTAGGGTATAACAATAAAAAAATGGAACATAAAAAATTACGAGAAATTAAAAAATTAATATCACAAAGCCTGGACGCTTCCTAGGCGTTATATAATTGGTGATCGGTCAAAATCAAATACGTGTTATAATGAATTAGATTTGTTCTTATATATTCGATTGAATTGAACTTATGCTGCCGATAAGCAATAATTAACTGCCTATATAAAAAAAATAATAAATAAAGTA